CCTTCCTTCCTTCCTTCCTTCCTTCCTTCCTTCCTTCCTTCCTTCCTCCCTCCCTCCCTCCCTCCCTCCCTCCCTCCCTCCCTCTCTCTCTCTCTCTCTCTTTTCTTCCTTCCTTCTTTCAACTCAAAAGAATTTCTAATTTTATAAATTTTTCTTTCCTAAATTCTAATTTTTGAGTTTTAATCTGGTTAAATTAGTTTTGTTAACATTCAGGGAGATTCAAATAGATATTAAGGGTCTAATTACTTGACAATAAAGTAAAACACATTTGAGAAAGGCCTGATTTTTGCATAACAAAGCCTGGGTGTTTTTTTAGTCAATAAGGAAGTACCAAGAGGCAGGAAGAAAATTCTCATTTTACTCATTTTAACAAACAATTTAAGTGTCACACTACTGCTTGAAATGGACTCATGCTATGTTCTATGAGTTCAAAAACTTGATTCTGAAAAATAAAATTTGCATCATTGATTTTCCAAATAATACAGGCTTTTATGTCTAGTGAGCATTTAGTGTGATTCCATTTAATTCTTCCATTAACTATGGCAATAAAGGAATATGAAAAACCATACAGTACTTACATTCAGTTTTGAGCATGTGAGATCCAGTTTCCCATTTACACAAACTGAGTTGTCAATTTAAGAAATAATTTTATAATCCTTTGCTTTTTTTAACAAGTTAAGAACTTTGAAGACAACTATTCCTTTTATCCTTGAAATACAATTCCTGCTAATGGTAGTTAAGCTGATAAGCTTGGATAATACAAAATGCACATGTGTTAGGGGGAGAAATAAGATTTTTGCAATTCAAGGTTCAATGAAATAAATGTTTTTTAACAATGTATTTTAATTCTATGAAATATCTTGACAGCTTTCCTATTAACCTCTGCTGGCAATTTTTAATTAAATTTTTTACTTGGAGTGAAATACTTGACACATATTCAGGCTAATTTTCCAGTAAACATGTTCCTTTTTATCAGTACAAAACACTTACATAGAAAAAGGGAGAGAATAGAATTATTTACTTGTTAACCATCTAAGAATGATAGACAGTTTTTTCTAGCTATAGAATTTCTTACCTATAAGCAATAAAATTCCATGTACTTGAAGCAAATGAAGATGTTATCTTTCTTCTTTTCTTTTCTGAAATGTCCAACTAGTCCAAAATATTGCACTAGTATTGATAAGGAGATTTTTTTTTGTAAGCCAGCTTATTTTGGAATAAATATGCGGAAAAGGCCTTCATCCAGCAGTGGATAAACTATGGCTAAAATGATGATGATGATGATCAGTATATTTACTGATATTTCAAAATATGCTGGCTTAAAAAATTATCTTCACTGATCAAGGCTGTTGAGTTCAGCTTTGTTAAATCAGGCTTTTCTCCATCCTCAATACTCGAAATCTTAAGGCAAAACAAACCCAAAGGTAGAGGACATAGGCATGCAGACTTTTGAGTTCTGCTTCCAGATTCCATCAAATATACTGTCACCCCTGCCAGTTATCATAGCCATTTAGAGATAGTGAGTTATTGGAAAGCCTTCTCAGTTGCACAATGTCCTGCGCTTCCATCGGCCATTCTGGTTGAAAGGGTCTGCTCCTGTCATTCTGGAGAGGTGGAAAACTCTGGGCATATCCTTCCTTGCTGTTGTTTTTATAGAGACATTCAAACAAAATTTATCTTCCTGATTAATAGGTATCCTGTCCGTTCAGACACCGTTTATCTTCAATGGCTGTTTAAAGATGGATGGATTGTAGTCACAGCACAGGTAGCTAGATTCTCCATAGCAGCACTAAAGGTTCGTCGGAACCTGATGAATAATCCATTGTAGTTATTTTACACAATTAATGTACCAAGTCTTTTGGTATTATCACGTTGTTGCATTTTAGTGTCTAACGATAATGACTGTAGGCCTTCACAATTTAAGGACTAATATTATATTATAGCATAGGCTGTGTTGTTTATGTGCAACTGACAGACAAGATGCTAAGTTAGGGTTTTAACATAGATTTTATTTATTATTGGTTATTTTATTTTATAATTTTTAACTAGATACCCATTGAGTATTTTTACTTGTACTGGTCTTTGACTGTAATAAACATTTGACATGACATGACAGCTTCTATGGAAACAAAAATTATACATATAAGATTCATTATATGTATATAGAAATTGGATTCAACAATGCCATAACATTGAATGAAAACATTTTGCCATTTTTTATTCAGTATTGCTTAGTATCATATGTAATAAATAGTACATAAAATAGCTTACAATTAAATTTACATCAGCTGAAGTTTTTTATAGGAGTCTTCTATGTGGTGCTGATCACAAAAACTTGTTGCATTTAGAATATTTAATAAGTTTCAAAACAGGATTGATTAAACAATCAGTTATCTTCACTGGCAAAAGCATAAGTGGATTAAAAATGTATTCTTTTTAGGGAATCAGAGAACCAGGTAAAAATTCATGTTTTTTTTTAAATCTCATTCTTGAAATAATAGTAAAGAGAATATAAGAATATTCATGATTCCAACATTTTCCAATATTCTCTTTTTAATCTATTTGCAGCAATGTATTAATTCATTTATTTAAATTAATCCATATAGAGACATAGCTCAACTGTAATTTGATTTAAATATATTTTATGATAGGCTAACAATGTAACTTTGAAAATTATGTGCTATTTTCATTAATATTGTCAAAGAAACATTACTAGATTTTATATTAGTCCATGAAGATTCAGAAGTAATAATTACAAAGGATCAGAAAAAACTACAACATAAAATCACGATTCTCTTCCACTCATGATTTAAAAAAAAGAATGGCAACCAATATTTTTCATTACTGCTTGGCATAATAACAGAAGTTAAAATGCCTGTTTTGCCAAAAAGGCTGCTTTTGTTTTAATCTCTTTATTTCAGTTGCTTATTTTTTGTATAGGGAAACATTTTTTCTTCACTTCTCTATAATTATAAAAAAACCTCTAATCAGATGAACTATACAACACAAACATGAAGGATGCCAAATTTGAAAATTATTTTGAATTTTTTCAATTAGTTCATTTTATTAGAAACTGAAATTTTCAGTAGGTACACAGTTAATCCCTCAACAACCAAGGACTTCCTGTAATTTTTTTAAAAATCACTTAGATTTCTTTTTTCATGTTCTCTTTTTAAAAATCTTTTAATAGAAAAATCTATTTCTCAACTGCTATCTTTTTCAACTTTTTTTGAGTTGTAGAATAAATAGAACATAGTCCAGTCAAAACAAAGCATTTGAACCATTTAGGCTACTTGCATGTGAGGAAACACACAAGAATTCTGTTTTCTTATTGTTGTATGGGATAAATATTGATTAACAAATTAATATTAACATGTTGAAGATAAAAATCAAACTCCTGAAATCTTTTGAAATTTTTCATAATTGTTATAAAAGTGGCACAATGGCTCAGTGGTTAAAGACGCTGAGCTTATCAGCTCGAAAACTGACACGTTCGAGAATCAAGTATTGCTCAACGAATTGAACTCCCCATTACTTGCTCCAACTCATGCCTACTTAGCAGTTCAAAAACACACAAATGCAAGTAGATAAATAGCTACCACTTCGGTGAAAGGTACCAGCATTCCGTGCTCCTCGCCATATAGTCATGCTAGTCACATGACCATGGAAAATATCTTCAGACAGCGCTGTCTCCATTGGCTAAGAAACAGAGTTGATCACTGCACCCTAGAGTCCAATATGACTCGACAGGAGAAACCTTTACCTTTATCTTACCTTGCTCTGCTATATGACTAATAGATGTTCTGATTTGTAATATTTGTAAAATGCCCTGGTTTGTAATAAGCATTGTCAGAATGTGTCAAAACTAATCATAATTTTAAAAATTTCAACAAAATATTTAACATTACTTGAAAGCTACCAAGAAGATAGATAAACTATTTGTACCAGAGCTGATAGGCAACTCTCTACAGGGAAGCGAAGGGGGAAGTAAATGAGTCTTCTCATCATCTCATTTGCCCAAATATATTGTGACACAGGTGCCATTGTTTTGACATTACAATGGCCAGCCATTGACACCTAGGTTGGATATATTACTATTATAGGAAATGAAGATCTGAATGGGACTAGTATGATCAAATGGTAGCATAAAAGCAACATCATATTCCCTTGTCATTCTTAGTATCTATGGATAGTGAGATGGGCAGCATATAAATTTAATAAAATAAAATAATAAAATAATTCCTCTATAATGAATATGGATATAGGTTACTGGGATTAATTTATAAAACTCTCATGTATTAGTTGAGCAATACCTTTTGAAAAATGTCTTTTCACAGAGATTATGCTGCACAACAGAGTCTTGGATTTTATTTATGACTTGGAACATATATGCACATCAGGTCAAAGCCCATGAGTGACAAAGCATGTATGCATAATCAAGATAACTTTTTGTATGTTCCTCCTCCCCCTCCCTCCCTCCTCACCATTAACCCATACAGAGAAAAACAGGAAGCCCATTTAATCATAGATCAAAAGGATGGGCTGGTAGTATTAAAATAAATAAAAATTACGTTCAAGAAAATTTTGGCTTAAAAGAAAGTAATTAAAAAATTATTAAGACTAAGATTGTAAAAATATAAGAAATGAATAGATGCCACTAAATAAAACCAGTAAAAACCAGCTGCAAAGAATTTAAACACCTGACAAACCAGCAGGAATACAAGACGAATAGAAAAAAAAAGTTTTATACAGAATAGTGGGAATAAACCATATCCAGCTGACCAGGCTTGACAGATTAGTTACCACATGCCTTATTTTATATACACCTGCATAGAACTTAATTGTGGCACATTGTTTCAGGATTAATATCAGAAATATCACTCTGAGTCAGGAAATAAAA